AGCTGGTCGACCGAGGACGTGCAGCACATCGCCATCCGAGAAGTTCAACTCGTCAGCCTGGGAGCCCACGAAGGAGATGAGTGCACGGACAAATTGGCCCGCAGTACACTGTGACATTGGTGGATCTGATAGGCGAAAGTGCATAGAAACAAAAAAAGGAGTTTAAGCGGATAAGAGGAAAAAACGGATAAACCATCAAAGGAACATTGAAGAAAGGGCAAAACTGTCTTATAGGGCTCCCTAAAGTAACGACTGTAAATGAATATTTTATTGTGGTAGAAGTGCTCAAAAATTTTAAAGAAACTTGCATTCGTTTCAATGTACCAAATAGAACCAAATCCATCAACAAAAACTCCTGCTGCCCAGGTTACTGATGTCAGCTGAGGGAAATTCAACCTTATGCTGACGGAATTGAGCGAAAAAAGGGAAATTCGGGTTACTGAAAATGCAAAAGTAGGTTATGTTGTAACGGTAGCCAAGGCCGATATGACACCGCCTAAGTTCGTCTTGTGTGAGCCCCCAAGGAAGAACACGACAGGAAGTGGGCCAAAGCAGAAGTCCCTGAGTGTAATGGATACAATATATTTAGGACAACAAACGTGTGTAACACGATGTCCACCGAGCCAATCAGCTTCTCTCCTGGCGTAGGCGCCGGCACGATTGGCTGGTGACTCAGTGACTGAATGTAGCTTGAATTTTAAGTTATTGATTGATTGTCTGGCACGATGCGTTCGCTCGAGTGTAGGCCGATCGATAGCTTGCAGTGAGCGCGGCTGCTTGCTGCCTATATGCTAGCCGTTAGGTCCCTCCTCACAGGTTATTGTTATAAGTCAAAGGGAAAAAAGTACCTCTAAAGACAGTCCTACCGAAAAAAAAGTAATACTGCACACTGGCAGCGAGATCAGGAGTTTTTTCTTGCCTAAAATCGGCTGTACCTTTAACCAATGGACTGAGTCAATGCACTAGCAACAGTAAGCAGAATCGGTCACTGTTGACGCCATTGCTCAAAGTGGTCCCACAGTGTTATTTTCAATCAGGGAACTTAGAAAAAAACACCTAACGGCAAAAGTAGCTTATGTAGGCCCACTCATTTACCCCTAGTCCCAGCATTTTGTCCTGCAAAAACGGTGGTTAAAGGGTTTTTTTGGGGTGGGGGGAAATAGGATAGGCAGAGGAAATTTTTAGAAGTGTCCATTGAAAAATGTAGTCGAAGTTGCTTCTCGCGGTCGCTGGGAGTAAGTTGTTCCGCATGTAAATTGAAGGTGTGAGCGGCGCTTCGTGCCGCGGACTACACTAATTTAACTCCAGAAACGTAAGTTGGACCTCAGGTAAGTTGAAGTAGACGACCTCCTAACCACCACTTCAATTT